GTTGAGAAACCATTGACCAAGTCCACATCCATAGAATTCCTACAGACTCTAAGGCTCTATTGACCTTGAAGTTGTCAGGCTGCTCTGTGAAGTTCACTAATAATATTCCAACAGTGTTACATCACGAGGCAACTAACTATGTGTTTGGTACATAGAAGTATTCTAGAAGGGCATCACTAACATTAAGCATTACTTCATAGAAAGTAGCTCCTAACTATTGCAAAAGTCCTCTTAATGAGAAATCTAAACTGATACCCAGTTTGAGACTTTAGTATTTGCAAAGTTTATTGTGTAAATGATGTTTTAGTTTCACAAAGACAAAAATCTCAGTGTTAGGCAATGCTTGCTCTCAGTATAACCATAAAGGTATATTTTTGCTAAACTGTACATCATAATATTTTTCTATTTGTTGCCTCTTACTCAACTATAGTTGCGTTTGTGAACTTAGACTGGTACCACTGAGGAAATGCTGGTTGTGAGAGTCTGCAATATTTTTCACTGATAAATAAAAATTTGTATATCTATTGCTTACATATTTGGAATTTTGAACCACATCTTTTAATATAAATTTTATTTAAGTACATTGTTTATATTTTACTCTGGAGCTCCCATGAAGTATAGATATATATCCACAATCATACATATTTTATATTTACATAAACACACAATAGTAAATGTGTATGTCAAAGTATCAAGAAGGCATACAGTTTTATTTTATTTATTAGAAAAACATAATTCCTCTTCACTTAATTATTTGTCCAAATTTCTGTTGATCACAAGATTCGTTAAAACTAAAAAGATCCCAAAATGTGGTGAGCTGTCTCTCAACCCTTCCTTACTTCTCGGAGTTCATCTGGGATTAGAAATAAGTAGAGAGTAAGAAAATCATACTAAAATTGGGTTATTCCATTTTCTTCTGGAAAGACTGCTCCACTGATAGAAACATGTGCTTACAGGCAAAAGTCTAGTCTGAGAGCAAAATGTGATTTATTTTTCTGCAAACTAGCCTGCATGTTCTGCTCATCAATACATGCCCTTACATGTGGAAGCCTTTTCCGCATGGTGCCTCACTCTGCTCCAGGGGCTCTTTGAAAGTGAGCCTTTCAAGTTCATGCCCTACAGATCCCTGAAGTGTCTGGGAACTTACACTTTTGCTTTTGCCAGAGGTTTGAAAATGGAACGCTTTGGGGCTGCACAACATTGCTGTGCAATTCATTATGGGACAAAGAAATGTCTGGGTTAAGCAGGCAAGCAGCTAATGATCCTTCATTTTGTCCAGAAAACATCAAGATCAATACATAGGACATGAAACATTTATGGAACTCTGTTTTCTTTTCCCTCTAGGGGAGGGAGAAGATACAGGATGATCTCTTTCTGTGGATGGCTACAATGATCGACACCGTTTAACGCACATCTTTGGCTTCTCCTTCCCATCTGCTGGTAGTAACACAGCCACCTGATCTTTGTTAATTTCTTGTACTATATATACCAGATTTCAAAGAATTTATTTTTGACATGTATATTTAGTTTCATTGATCCAGGTAACCAAAATCTGGAGATAACATTACTATCCAAAGTGAACAGAGCTACTTCTGGGAGGTTCTAACAGGCATTAACAATCATAATGTATTCATTAAAATTAAAGATCTTTAGCAAACAAGTGGGAGGAGCCCAGAGAGAGAAAGCATGAGTCAAAAGAAGATATCTACAAAGTTTCCTTCCAAGTCACATAATCTGTCAGCAATCAAAACTAAATACTATCATGAATCACGTTTAATGAGTAAATTGTTCCTAGAAGGACTGAAATAAAAATGGAGACAGCAACATAAATGCAGTCAACGTTATAACTCCTTGCAAATATCCTTAACTATGATGATTTTAGAATTTGAAATTCAGAGCAACGTCAAAGTTTTGGATTGAAGTGGATTTTTTCTTCTTGTTCTTTTAAAGAAATGACACAATAGGGTATTTGGAAACTAGATGATCATGTCAGGAAAATAATTAACTTTACATCTCCCTTAAGGGGAATCATTGTCAAGAGTGACAGAAACCAAAATGGCACTATATTTGCCCAATGACATGTGCACATTTCCCCAAGTTGTCCCTAAATGGAGCAGTAAAGAATGCAAATTTGGTACCAATTGTTCTTTACTTGCTTAGGTTAGATTAAAAGCAGTGCTCCAGTATGAGAAGAAGATGACTGAGTTAACATATGATCTTTTCAACAGATTTCTTAGGGCCTGAGAATCTCAGGTCATTATTGGATTATTGTAGGTCCCTCAATCACATGACCTTAAAACATTACACTGAAACCATCAATGTGAGTTCTATAAAACCACAAACTTCTGAATTCAAAGATGCTAAATTTTGATAATGTGGAACACTGAAATTTTTATAATATTTTGAATTCTATTTTAGTTGCAGGTGGATCAGACCAATTATAGTTGGTTTTAATTAGTACATCCACAAGCAAGAACATTCTCTCTAAAGCTACATTAATATTGAAAAAGTTAGGAAATTGGACACTTCTTTAGAAAATATCAAAGAGACCGCTTTCAATCTGATATCAGAGCTCATAGTGACATCCCAGTCACAGTTTTCAAGACGGAATAAAAAACTGGATTAAGATATGAGTTTCTTAAAATAAGATTTCAACCATCTACAATAAATAAGCAATGATGATGAATGAAGGCAAATAGCATACACACAAATTTGATTATACCTGTCTTGACTTAATAGTACCCAATGAGGGCATTTTATTACTGTACCTTCCAAAATACCTATGTCTTGCATTATGTCCTCTTTTATTCCATATCAAATTTAAATATCAAAGATTAAATATCTTCTGTTAGCATTTGAAGCCTTTATTAAACTCTACTTGACTTCCAATGCATAAATAAGCAAATTCAAGTACTGATGATGATCAGTATTGTATATTTAATTCTGTTATGTTGAATGCCAATCTCAGAAGCATAAAGTTATATCTCTTAAGAGTTTTATAACTGAGCATAATTTTTTTGCCTCTCATGTTCCCATGAGATAAAAGTGAGTGAGAAACTCATAACCAAGTTCTTGCTATTCACAATGTTTCCATTGGGTGTAGCTATGATATTAGATAGGTTGGTATCACAGCCTGCATACTCAGGAAGGATCCCCAGACATTTGGGGATTTGTAGTGACTTTCTTTGTCTTTAGCATCAAATTGTGTTAGTCAGCTGTTTGTTTTATGGGGAAAACCAAATAAAACAGTTTCAAATCAATCAAATCAAGAAGGATTTCAAAGTCTTTTTCTGAAAAAGAAGAAACCTAAAAAACTGGGACCTGTATTAAAACTTGAATCAACAAGGATTTCTACATAATTTGTCTATTCTTGAATTTTTTATATAACCACATTAATTCACATCTAGTTTGAATGGCCTTCTATATAGATAGGCATCTGTGGATAAAATGGGATAAATAAGAGGAAAATCCTCTAAAAAATGCAACTCCTTTATTCAATGATGGGTCTGAGCAGAGTGTCTTAAAGTGTCTTTTACACTAAAAGGAAAAAAAAAGTATTTCTCTTGAAATGCAAGGGCAGCTTACATGCTGAGATGAAAACTGCTAACTCTTTTCTTAACAACACCATATGTCTCCAACTGGATCATAATGCAGTCAGTTCTCAAGGAACATTACGCATGGAAGCTAACCAAATCGAGGCACGGCTTCACTGCATGTTAACTCTGACTAACCAGAGGTGCTACTTTGGATTTTCTAGATTATCCAAGTGTCAGTCTGAAGGGCCTTTCTCCTTTCCTGACATACCCCCCAAACCCTCAAGTCATCAAAGGACCCTGAGCCCTCCACAAAAATATTTCTCTTTTAGTTCAGACTTCCTCGTACTATATAAAACTTCGATACGTTGTAAGGAACAGAAATGCTCAACCCACGAGCCTTTAAAACCTCTCTAACCATGGGTTTTAAATAGTCTATGCATTACATAGTAAACACTATAGAAATCCAGCTTATAAAGATCAAAGGGAAAATATTATAAGACTGAAGAAGTCACATTTTTCCCCTGAGAATCATTGAAAACAAAAGAGCAACAAATAAACCAGCATGCATTGGCCAGATATTTCTTTACCTACTCATTGTAATTCTTCTTTTTTAGCACTTCATTCAATCTTCAAAATTTTTATGCATAAGTATGATGCATTTTTAAATTTACTCACCTAATACTAAATATTTTCCATATATACTACTACCAGATTAATATCAAGTTGAGGCATTTCTAGCTTAAGCCCAGACACGTGATATATCCAATTCTTTTATGTTGAATGTAATTCTTAACAGCATAAAGTTATATCATCTTATAATGTGTGTAAAATCTTAATAATTTTGCCTTGGAAGATGTGAAATGCCCTGGGACAGTCGGGACTGATGCTTCTCAAACTATCTCTGATGAGTGGATCATTTAAAAAATTTTTTCAATATGTCAGTAACTGATATTTTTGTAAAATATGAAATTATACACTCAGATTTCAGGACAATGTCAAATTGCTATAAAAGTTTCTAAATGCTTACTCTCACTTTCTGTACTCTTCTTGTCATGGACTGGTAAGAAATATTTGGAAACTGGCATCAATCTGTGGACCCCACTGTGAATATCACTGTTTAGATATTTTATAAATTAGACACCAATCAAGATACCAATACCAATGACAACAGTCATAAATTTCATTCACTACAAGTGCATTTTTAACTGTTCTTTGCTATGTTTTTCTTCTAATTCATTTTAGAAAATTAACAACAGAGATTCAAAAAAAGGCCAAAGAAGAATCACCGAGAAGCATTCCGTAGTTGTGAGAAAGATGAGCTGCTACATAGTATTAAAAAAACACACATTTATACAAGCAACCTTTTCCCTCCCAGTGACCAACCAAAGGCCTTACCATGTATACATTCTAATAATAGCAATAAGTTCAGACGTAATTGAATGATTACTTAATGCTGTTTCTTACCTGGGATGCCTGGTGGTGTTTTCAGATATTTTCCATTAAAATGTTGAATTACCACTTCACATTTTTCAGTAGACTCCATTCTGGAAAAAGAAGCAAACAGAGATCATATACTTTCATGAAGTTGTGCATATGCAGGAAAAATAAATAAAAAGAAAAAGAAAAACAGGAAAGCCATGGAAAAGCTTGATTTGAGAATTTTACTAGACTCGTCAATTGCTGCCATGACCACCATGACCAGGCTGATAGAATATCACAGATTCATGCTCGTCGAGAGTATTCTTTACTGTATTGAAAGTTGCCTATGTGGATGGCTCTGTGCTGAGTCCTCACCCAGAAGAAATACTAAGGCATTATCTTATTTAATCCATACAACAATGTTTGGCAATTGAAAGTGCTCAATAAATATATGTTGAATGTCTGAATTAACAAACCTGAAAGGTAGGTCTTATTATTGCTCTTTTTATCAATGAGGGTGCTGAGACTTAGCGAGATGAACTACCTTGCCAATAAGAGGCAGAGTTGGGATTTTAACTGAGGCATGTCTGCCATCAAAGCCATACTGTAACTACTAAGCTATATTACTGAGAAAATCCTCAAAACAAGGTGAGTAGAAGTGCTTTATCTCAACTGCTTGCAGCCTAAAGGAATGATTAATACAGTAGTGTTGTTATCAGCACCATGACACTTTTATTGAAAACCCACTGGGTGAAAAATACAAAAGAGAATTATTTGGGGTCCCAAATGTGAGAGGAGAACATAAATACAGAAACCTCAGGTTCTGAACTTTCTTAATTTTGAATTTTGGACATCCTCTATTTTTCATACTAAGTATCAATATTCCTAAACTGGGTTTCTTGTGCCAAATTTTGGCATCTCACATACAAGCTAATGAATGAACATTTTGAGCCATACATCATAATGTCAAGATTGGCAGTATTGCCATGTCCTGAGTAGAATAGTATTGGCAACATTTTCCAAATAATTAACTATATCTGGGCTTTACTATTTTATAAAATTGGATGGGGAAGATAAAAATTAAAGGGTTGATTCTGATTAAAGGAAATTAAGTCCCAAAAGCAGTACACTAGAGGCAAAAATAAATTTAAAAAACAGCACACACACGTATGAAAGAATGTATATGAAATGTGTGAAATTTGTCTAAAACACAAAGTATTATTTTGGATTTTCTGCTGTGTTATTAATATGAGCTTTCTTGGAATGGAGAGCTTTGACACAAGTTGTAAAACTTTTCTACATCTAAATTTTACGTGTGTTTTCATGATCATATTATATTACCATATTACATGCAGAGGAAACAAGGAAAAAAATATGTAAACAAATGCCAAGGTTCTATATTTATTACAGCTACAGGAATTCAAATGTGAGAGGAATTCCAGAAGCCAGGGAAACACTGAGAAGTGGGCATAGAAGGCCAGAGGAGCGCTTGGAGATTAATTAGTGCAGGGGGCTGAACTGGCAGGGGACAGAGCCTGTGTCCTTTTAGATGCACTAGAGTGAGCAGATCGCTGTGGCTGAGAAATGCAGACAAGGGCTTCTGAATTATTAGGTTAAGGAATTTGAAGATGCTGTCAGGAGCACATTCCATTTGAGGATCTGTAATTAATTTCTGACTCGAATTTTAAAAAATTTATTTTCTAATGTACATTCCCATGAAGCATAGGATAGATGCACATTTTTCTGTATTGATACACATGGCACATCTTTAGCTACCAAGCAGGACTGACTTCCCAGGCACGAAACCTGTGCAGAACCACAGGGCTACGCACGTAGAACAAGCCCGCACTCGGTTTAAAAATTTGCTGTCACCGTCTTGAAAATCTTAATAATTTTCTAACACGGGGTCTTGCATTTTTATCTTTCACTGGGTCCCACAAATTATGTAGCTGGTCCTGCTATGACAAGAAAGTACAGGAAACTAATTTGACTAATTTGAGTGCAGGACACTAATAGGTTAGTATTCATTTATCAGTTGGTCCAATGGATCCACGAAAGTGTTATTTTGAAGAACACCTGAACAATGAATCAATTTCACATCCAAATTAAAAAAAAAACACTCTTTAAGCTTAATAACACAATTTTAATAAATAATAAAAACAAAGACAGCATTTTGTTCACTGCTTAATCACAAATTCTCCCAAATCAGAAGATATTTGGATTAGAAAGGGAAGATGAATCTTTCCTCATTCCAAATATTTAGGAGTAGCTAAGGACAATTTTCCTAACTCCTTCAAGTTTTCTTTTTATGGAATCTTTTCACTGTACGTCTTCCAATTTTTTTTTTTTTTTTGAAGTAAGAAACTTCCATTTCTAGGAACAAAAGAATTCTAATTCTGCTCTTTCTCTCTTCCCACAGGATCTACTATCTATTGTCTCTTAGGGAAAATAACCTTCCCTCCTAGCAGAGACATGAATGGAAGAGGAAATGTAAGCCCTTAATTACTACAGATGTTACTTTATGGAATTTTTATTCCAGGAGAGCTACAGAATGAAAAGTTTATGCCCCAGAGCCCCCTACAAATCAAATCCTTTCTCTTTGTCTTAAAATGACATGAAATTCTAAATGAAGACTAAAATTAGGTGGGGGTGAGTTTGTGTGTGTGTGCTTGTTGATTCTACGTAATGTATTTTACGGAATACAGAGGAAGCTAAAGAAGAAAATCAGGTGGCTAACTCACTCTGCCCGATTAAAATATTTTTGTTCTGATTTGAATGCCTCAAGTCTTCCCTTTTGGATTCTAAGTACGATCGTCTTTTCTTAAGACTGTTTTACAGCCATATCAAGCCAGAAAGGGGCTGTTTCTATGAACACAAAGACAGCCACATAGATTGCTCACTTTGGCTTCATTCAGATTTAACTAAGTGAATGTCTGCAGTGAGCCTTTAGAGACTCTCCTCTCTGAAAGAATAAATGCAATAAAAGTCTGTTTTCTGTAGCTGCCGGCGCTTAGTGTCAAACCATGTTATGCTGCACCACCCAGCAGTGACAATTTCAGTTTAATGCACGGGGCACATTTTAACAAGGCAAAGCAGTCCCAGCAAAGACGGCAATATAGGGGCTGCCAATGGGAAAGGCTCAGCGTTCCTCGTGCATTTTATGCGGAAACAGAACAAAAGTGAGACCCACGGAGCGCTGGGGGTAAAGAGACTGCATTTGAATGGCCACCTTAGGAAGAATGTGCCCATTTTCTTCTCAAGTATCACAATTAACTGTGTTGAAATGCCAGCTCAAGCTATCTGCAATCTGGCACACGCTTCAGTTGAAACTGACACTAGTATTATCAAGTGGGTCTGAAAAGGCGGCACGCCAGACAAAGCTGCCTTTCCATGTCCCTTTCAGATGGGCCACTGAATCACTAAACTGTGTCTATTCTTCCTAGGCGGTACCTGAACCCCCTCGTGTCCCTTGGAACAGCTCGCGTGCCAGGCCAACCATTCACCCGATGATACATTAATTAGACTCTTACAAGGTTCCAATCATTGTATAAAGATTCAGGGTTTTCTGTTGGGTCTGATGTTTAAATATAAGTACACATTAAAGGCCTTGTTTGACATTCGTTCTTGTCGCAGTGCCTAGGAACCTGGCTTCAGTCATTCAAAACGCACCACAGAATTGTGACTTAAAAAATTTTTTTTTTCTGTACAACAGCTACTAATTGTATTGGTTTCACAGCCAATACAATTCCCACAAACAAATTACATCAAATGAGAGCTGGATCCAATATTAGTAGAATGTGCTGGGTCAGACTGAACCTGCAGACGTGGAAAAGTTTTTTGCAAAACCATTTGCAGCCTACCTATCTCACCGCAATAGAGTCTCTCTCAGTTTATGATCTTAAAGCAATAAGTATTATTAACCATGTATTTAAAACAAATCCACCCTGTCGTTTATTACAGTTAATTAGAGGTTTCCACTATTGTGAAATTTTTGTGGTTTTGCAATCACAGGCTCTGTACAAATTATTGGCAACTTAGAGCATCCAACGTTGCAATTCAGTCAGCCTATTTCCGGTAAGATTTATGCAAAGGGTCAACATTAAAAGATTCTTTAAAGTACTAAAATGTGCTCTCCTTCTGACATTTCAAAAACAAATTATGTCATTTACTTCTTAATCAATTGTAAGGGAAGGAATAATGGTGAGTCCCAGGAACAAAGATGAGTGAATGAGTTGAATCTTCTTAGTTTTTGTAATTTGTTTTCCTCCTGACAAATGCTTGACATTCTTAGGATACAAATGTCATAAATGCCAAATACTGAATCAGAGTGGCCTCCCTGCCATCTCCCTTTGCAGAAACCCAGACATTTTGGTAGTGTCTTGCTCAGCATCATAACACATTCCTCTTAGGAAACGGAACTGTAGAGAATATTTGACTAATAAAAACCCACTCCAAAGTTTTAGAATCACATAATTTCAGGGCTAGAAATAGCCTGAGATACCAACTTCTACATTGTACAGATGAAGAAACCAACTCTAGTAGACCGTGGTTGGCTTCCCTAAGATTAGTTAGTGGATAAGCCTGGAATACAACCTTTGTCTTGACTCTCAGTTCAGACGGCCTATTTGGAAGAGATGGAGCTCCACGGCTGGGCTCATGTCACCCCTCCTGATTTCCTATACTGATCTCCTTTAATCTGTTCTGAAGCTGAATGGATCCTGCTGTCTCCATTCCATCCAGCCACTATTAACTAGAGCAGCTGTTCTCAAAATAGAGATATACCCTGATATGATATGACTAGAAGAGGACTTCACCTCTGCGGTCTTCTTTCTAAAAACCTATACATAATATGGATCCTATCATGAGAAAAACATCAAACAAACCCATATCTGGAGACATTCTCCAGGATATTTGGCTAATTCTACTCAGGAAAAACAAGAAAAGTCTCAGAAACAGTCACAGACCAGAGCAGACTGGTGAGACATGACAAGCAAATGCAAAATGGTACCCTGGATTGGGTCCTGGAACAGAAACAGGTTATCAATGCAAAAACTAGTGAAATCCAAATAAAGCCTGGAGTTTAGTTAATTGTAATAAGCCAATGTCAGTTTCTCAATTTTGACAA